CCCCAAAACCCCAAAACCCCAAAACCCCGTCTAGGTTCAATCTTACTGACTTATAATATATTTATACAAAATACCAAATAAATGTCAAAGCTGGTCCTAATCGATAGGAAGGATGAGCAGAAACTCAGACAGAACATCTGAGCTCATAAGGAACCTCGAGAGGTAAGTACGATGATATCCAAAATCCCAGCTCAATACCTTAAAAATTGTTGCATCTCAATATCTAGCTTCGAGATCACATTTCGCATAGGGAGCTAAGAACAACCCAATCTTACCTAAAATTCAGCTATCAGATGTTGTTGCCAGTCAAAATTTGTGAAAAAGCGATATAATTTACAACAGAGCACGCTTTAAAACCAAAAGTAGTGTGAAAAACCAACAGAATTCTATTAATAATATGCTCACTAGTCTTACTAAGGTAGAAAAAGCGACAATTCCAGACATTTAAAGCTCCTTTGCCTCTAAACCTATCTAAACAAGAGCAGAGGCATAACTCAGTCGTACAGAAGTTGAACTTTTCAGTTTCAAAAACACCGAAAAATTCCCAGAAGATGTCAACTATATAGCCTCAATGAAGTCTAGTACAAAAAGTGAGTACTTTAAACTCGATTTTCTTTCAGAAAAGTTCTGAATCTTCCTATAGAGCCTAAACATTTGTTATAAAGATCGAATCTACGTTGAAAAATAGGCAGAATCTACTGCCACCACGTAACTCAATGAAAGACCCTAGGATAAATCTCAAAATTGCACAGACTTCGGCACGTAGTGGAATGGAGTCGAGCCCATTCGTAAGAGCCAAGGAGTATGACAAGAGCCTGACCAGGAAGGCTAAGCTTCCTGGGCTCTCTCCAAGTCCTAAGGTAGCATCAAGTAAGCCTCTGGTGGACAACTTGAAGAAGAACCTTAACCGTATAAAATATCTTGAAAAAGCACACAGATATGTGAGAAGAAGGAACATTTTGTCACAGAAAAGTCACTCCAAAAGGGTTAAAATTAAGCCAGAAAGAGGTAAGATTCCCTCCTGTTTCTCTTCTAATAATTCTAATTGTTTTCCTAGGTACTCCAGAGTGTGGTAATGTGAGCAGGATTTGGAACAACCAGGAACAAGTCAGGATCCGCACAGTTGGGGGATTATGGCTTGCCACTCCTAATAAGAAGAAAAAGGTTATTAAAAAGCACAAATATTTAAAACAAAGTAAACCTATTTTCATAAAATAAGCTAATTGGAGGAAATAAATTATCCTTAAAGTGAGTATATGGTATACCTGAGGTACCTTAGAAGCAGGCTCAAGTCTTGGCATTCATCAGGTGAAAATTAGTATTATTTGAGTATCTTTGATGATTTTTAGGGGTTTTGGGGTTTTGGGGTTTTGGGGTTTTGGGG